TCATCGGGGCCCTTTTATGCAGCAAGGGGCCCAGGCAGAGGTTTTAGTGTCAGAGGTGGGAGTTCGTTAATTCACCGGCACTCCGACGAAGGGTTAAAAACGCTGGACCTCTGTCTCTCTCGCACAAACATACACAAACTTAGACAAAGCAGCCCTGTTGTGGGAAACCTTGAGACATCCGTGTCTCCTGTTCCTGCCCGTGTGTGGGAAAAAAACGCAACATTTCTCCAGGGCTTGTCCTTTTGCCTCCTTATCTTTCACCACCCTTTTCAAAAACACGAGGCCAAGGACATCACAAACAGCATGCGCAGAATTTATTTAGTTCACTACCAAGGTGCTGTAATGGATCTGATTTTGTGCAACCCTGCTAATGCTCCTGCTGCCAGACCACTGATAGCAAGCGGGTCAAGTAAAAGGGAGTGCTGCTGGGGGGGTTCTGCAGCTCAGTCCTCATTGGTGCCTGGCAGTGCTTGGCGAGCTCCTTCTTTTCAGTCGACTCTACCTAAAGAGAAGAAGAGAGTATGTGTCAAGCTTTCATCCACTTAATGCTCTCTGACGTTTACATTCCATTCCTGTTTAGTCCGCGGCCGCAACTTCAAGTCTAAGCAGACATTAGTTAGTCTTTGAGAGGGAGAGGGTAAAAGAGAGCGGAAAGTGGCTCGGGAGGGGACGGAGGGTCGGAGAGGTTGGGGAATTCATCTTGTGAAGGTTTTTCTGTGAGTTGCCAGCTGCACTGCTCGCTTGAAAGGTCACAACTTGGCGTTTGAATCGATTGATAAGAGTGAGCAATACAGCGCGCTGCCTCTTTCAGCTTTCACCTCTCGTCTACGTCTGCCTATCTCACGCTCTGCTGGGAGCAGAAGCAGATACATGGCGTGAGCTCAGAAGAGGCTTTAAGTGCTAAACCGCTGCTGCTTCTATCAGACAAAAACAAGCATTACATGTTGTCATGAGGGGGAGCGTCACTTCTCTGTGTGGGACTCTTGTCCGGTATCAGCAGCTTCGTGTTTTTCTGTAACACATCGGTTCTGCCTGTTAAGATGTTTTCTCACCAGATTGTCCTGCAGCTGCACCAGTGGGTTTGTTAGCCGAGTGGGCGAATCAAGTCCCATGAAGAATTCTTCTCACACTGCCTCCGAACAGGCTTTGGCTGTCACAGAGATGTAACCGGGGTGGGAATGCAGGAGTGTGGGTTTATAATGGTGTGTGCATGAGAGCGTGGGTGTGTGTTTGTGTGTACTGCCATATGCCAGTGTGTGTGTGTTTTTTGGACACTTTTATTTATGTATTTGTACATTTTGAGGGGCCATTCCAGTGGTTTGGATGTTTTTCTGTATATTCTTTGTCTCATAATGCTGCTTCTGGACACTTTTATGCCCCGGCAGCATCTGTAGCTGGAGGCCTTGCTTTCAGTCCGCCTGTCTGTACGCACGTTATTCATTCTTGTGAACGCGATACCTTCAGGTACGCCTGGAGCCAATTTCCTCAACTTTGACACAAATGTCTAATTGGAGTCGAGGATGCGCTGATTAGAATGTTTTGGTCAACGGTCACTGTGACCTCACAAAACATGTTTTTGACCACAAGTCAAGAATTCATATGCTAACCATGCCAATTCCCCACAAATATCTAACAGGATAAAATGATGAACTGATGACATTTTGGACAGACAGGGATGTAAACTACTCTATACTATAGCATGGTGTTTAAACGCACTTTAATTTCACTTGCCTTACTCACAACAGGTATATCCATCACAGTAAACATGAAGTTTACTGTTGTGTGTTGTCAAAGTTGCTGTATCATTTATGTGGGAATGTAGATGCAATAAACACCCCTTTGGAAAGGCCCATTTGGAAAAGTCGTATTTGTTGGAGCATTACAGGAAGATTCATTATGTTGACATTCTCTAATATCTGAGAAGAGTTGGCAGTGGAATAGCAAGAAGCCTACGCATGCTCTTTACTTGTTATGAGTTTGATTTGCCTAATATAGCGTATCCCTCAGGGCCATAAGCTTTGTGTTTTATCCAGTAATGCTCAAATGACCTCCTATAATTTTGTGCATGTTGTCACAACAGTAACTCAACACACAGTGGGCTGCAAGTAAGCAGCAGTCAGGGAGTGTTAAAGTTAAGCAGCTGTGGTTAATATGGAAAAGTAAATGGAAGTGAATTAGCTACCACACCATTATCTCAGTATTGATGTTATGATGGTAAAAATCTCACGATAAAACATTTCACTTAGTTTTATCCCACCAGGTCAGATAAGAGAACACATGGACAGTGGACACCGCTATTCTTTTGGAATCATTTATGAGACATTGTTCTTGTGGTCACATGGAAGCTGTGGAGAATTGTGGATCTTTGGATTGGCTGTTGATGGCCAGTGACTGTGAAATGAAATAAACAGGCTTGCAGTACAAATGTGCATGTTGAGGAGCCAGCATTTGTTTGGAAGGAGAGATGACAGAAGGTCTCCAGCTGCAAGATTCCACAACAGCTGATGGAAGAAAGGATCTTGGCTTTAATTTGACATTTACCATTTTTTTCCAGAATGTTCTGCTTCTGTCCCATTTATTATCAATTGTTCACGGGTCGAAATGCGGTCGTTTATCCGCTAACAGCTGGATAAACGTATTGCCCGTCCTCAGGCTTCTGTATAGCCTCACCCGTCAGTCATTATTCATGGCTTCTGTTGTTCCCTTTTTTCTAGAGCTACAACTACTTCGTCCCGCAAGGCAAACATTGTGCATTGTGGCAGAATATTCCATAAGTAAACAGTGGAATTCCTTTGGGCTGGAATGTGTGCGTTCGTCTGCGTGTCACGTGTGTGTAGGATATGTGTGTGTGTGTGTGCCGAGCAGCTACCAGGTTGCCATATGTCCCTCTGGAAATGCAACGAGCTACTAGAGCAGGCGGGTTCTCTCCACTCCAGCCCGTGTCGTCTGGCTGGAGTGGAGTTAAAAGAACTACAGAGTCGGTCAAGACCTTTATCTGGAGGGAGATATAACTTTCACACAACAGACGTGTCTTAACGCCTCGACTGAGAGTAAAGGTCGCAGCAGCTTTTAGTCCCGAAGATGAGGCCAGATTGGCATTCTCAAACAAGTGTGGCTTAACATGTTGGCTTTAAGATCAGGTGCAAATGTGGACTCGCTCAGCAAAGGGCTTCTCCCTAAGTTTGAGGTGGTTTTTGTCTCGATGGCATCCAACGTGTCCAGATGATAACCCCTCCCCAAGGGAGTGGGAAGCAGGAGATGATCCCACTGATGGTTGGCTGGTTGGCACCACTGAAAAGAATTTGGTTAGTCAGCGGTTTCCTTTTGAAAATGGCCCGGGATTGTTGTTGTAACGGTGTTCAGTCAGGGGAGAAAGGATTTGTGGGGATATATCTAGTTATTTATTAGCTGGAGCCATTTAAATAGGAAAACCACCATGACGGAGTTAGGTGGAAATACGAACTGGCGGACCACGCCAACTGGAAAATGCCACGGGGGGGGGCATCCTGCCAGGCTCGTATCCAAACTTATAGCCGGAGTCTGGGCAGACTGGATGCTGAGATGGTGAGAGATAATAAACCCGCACAGTGCTGTGAAGATGATCAGATATGAGAGTGGCTGCTCAAGCTTTGCGTCTCCTCCTCGAGACTGTGTGTGTGTCTATCAGGTGTACTGCGAGAGGATATATTCATGTGTCTTGACAAGGATTGTCTTTTGTGATAGAAATATATACTGAAATAATCCTTTGTTACCATAACTAAACAACACTTTTCTCCTTGTTGGCGTAATCTAGCACTGCACCTCTAGAAATGTTAGTGTCTGTCCGTCAACACTTTGGTCCAGAGTAAAGTATCGCAACAACTAGTGCATGGGTTGAAAAAGGTATTTTATACAGATGCTCATTGTCCCCAGAGGAGGAATCTTAAGGACTCATAAAGAAGGAATTCCCGGGCCTTTCCTTGAGTGACGCCGTGAGGTTGACATTTGTGGTTTTTGGAACCTCTGTTGGATGGTTTGCCATGAGTTGTGATACAGATATTAAAGGTTCAGTAGGTTTATCAAAAAAAAAAACAAGATATTGTCATATTTGCCAAAAACTGTCACTATATCCTCACAGTGCATGAGACAGATACTCTGTGAAAAAAATCATTTTCTTCTGCCCCACCACGCATGAAGGAAAACAACCAATCAGAGCCGAGGAGTCTCCAACGCAGCGTCAATCACTGCAAGTGAACTCTGAGCAAACTGTCCCACTATGCGGCGCTGACCAAATGTGAATCAAGATTGTGTTACTGCTAAACTAAGATGGTGAACATGCTACACATTATACACATCAGCGCGTTCCAAATAGTCACTATGAGCATGTTAGCATTCTGATGTTGGCATTTAGCTCAAAGCAGGTGACCTCATGTTTCTGTGATAGACTCCTTCCTAATTCCAGAGCAAGGAGCTGGTCGTGTGTTTTTTTTTTTTTTTTTTTCAACAGATTTATGTCATCCAGTCATTCTGATGTCAACCTCAGCTGCTTTCCTTGGCTTTCACGGTTGCATGTTCATGTGGGATTGTTTCCTTTGTGTGTGTGTGTGTGTGTGTGTGTGTGTGTGTGTGTGTGTGTGTGT